GTTAGAAATGCAGGCTGCTTTATAGATGTAAAAAACCCCAAAACAAAACTCTAAAAAAATGGACACTTCAAACTCTGCATGCTCCTGTGCCAAGTTCAGCATATGCCCAGAAGAAGTATTGTATTAGTTGGACTCTGCTTTTGCAACAACTGTATAGCTTGGGTGCTTTAGCGGGCCTTCTTTGGTACTTTTATCTAATAACTAACTGAATCAAAGCACACACACTATGGGTGCACTGATTTTAAAGATTTTTTTTTTGACTGATACTGATGGCCAATTATTAAAAAGTCATATAGGCTGATACCGATCCGATTGCTGATATGCAGCCCAGCAACTTAGAGAGCAGCATCCAGCTGGTAAGTCTGAGGGGGAAGGGTCGTGGGGGTGCAGATGGAGGCCCCCACAGTGAGGGAGGGATTGGGACTGGGGGAGGGGCAGGCACTACCTAGCCAGGGCACAGGACAGAGCTGTAGGTGACTCCGCTGGGGGGTGCCTCCCGCAGGCTGCTGCATGCACCCTGGGTGAGGCATTGGGGGGCATGTGCCCCCCCTGGATCTGTGCATGGGGCAAGGGTGGGCTGCCTACTGTGCTTGGGGCTAGGGACTGCACTGGCCTCTCCCCAGTGGGAGGTGGGGGAGGGTAGGTTGGGGCTGTGCTCAGGCTGGGTGGTGGCGGGGCTGGGTTACTGGGTGGGCTACAGCTGCACCAAAATTTGCTGTAACCACCCCATAGAACACCCCCCTCCCAGCACTGCTGCTGTCTGCCTCAAGCGCAGCCTCAGCCTAGCCCCCACACTAGAAAGAAGCCGGCATAGCCCGGCCTCACTCTGTGCACACATCTGTGGGGCACATGTCCCCCATGCCTACCCCAGGAATGTGTGCATTGATGAAATCCGCCTCTGTCCCCCACCCTGCCCCTGCCCTACTCTCTCCCTCACCATGATCTGCCCCCACGCCGCTCCTTCCTCCCCCTCCCCACCAGGTTTACCAGCTGGGTGCTGCTCTCCAAGCTGCCAGGCTGCATTCCTGGCTGTGTGCATGCTGCAGCTGCGCACGTGCACGTGGCATTTTTCAGTGATGTTACTGGCCACATCAGCCAAAAAAAAGCTGGTTGCTGATATTGTATCAACACCAATAAAAAGCAAATTGACATTATGGACCAATGTATCAGCGCACTCATACTATACCTGCACCCCACCACACCTCCACACGCCCTACCCTCCCACATACAAGTACAGCAAAAGCTGCATTATCCAGCACCATAGAAACCAGCATGCTTCACTAACTGGCATGTCAGTCAATGCAGCAAAAGTGAAACCGGAAGTGCCCACTGTGGCACTTCCGTTTTTTTCCAAGCAAAGCAGCCTGCGCTGCTGAGCCCCTATGGCCTGGGGCATAGCAGCTTGTGCAGGGCCAGCCCCTCCCTGTCCCCTGGTGCACTGGATGCGTGGGAAGGGTGGTTAAAATACCAGTTACCTCTCAGGTAACTGGTATATTTGGTTATCCAGTACCCTCTATTCCCCATGGGTGTCGGATAACAAAGCTTCTGCTGTACCTGCATATATTTCTAAAGAATGTTCAAATAGCATTATATTTAGTTTAATTTGTTTAGTTTAATAATAATTTTGCATAATTTTGGATTTTTTTCCCTGGGGTGTTTAAAAAAAAAAAAAAACGCACACTGAAGCATGCAATCTACACGGGTGCTTTGGAGCTGGGTCAGATGCGCTGCCTGTTCCGGTAAAGCGCTTTTTTAGTTTTGGTTTTTGTTGTGTTTTTGTTTTGCTTTTTCACATCTGTCAACAGCCACAATGTATGGGTTTGTGGGGGGGGGGTTTGTTTTTAAACAGTACAATTTACCAGTAGAACAACTTGCCTAGATGTCTCTCTGTTACTCAAAGCTTTAAAATCAAGCCTGGATATCTTCTTAAAATGTACTTTTTGTACAAATGAAAGTTTTTCTTATTGTAGAAATAATCAGATGAGATTCTTTGACCAGTGGGACCTGGAGCCAGACCAGATGATTATAATTGACCCTTCTGGCCTTAATTTATTAGTCTTCATTAACTACAAATAAGAACTTTTCATTAAACTCCATGGAAGTCAGTATGTTCTTACTATGTTCTTACTGAGCTGGTGTATTTAGTGTGAAATTGGAATGAATTGAGGTCTAATCATGACTTGCCCACTTCCATAATTGCTGGAGAAAGGTATCTATTGTGGTGATGAGTATTTTTTTTATCTCAGTACCTGACTGTCACCTTAAAAATATCAGTACTAAAGAACTTGATTTAGATAAGCAACTGAGAAAATGTCTGACCGGAACAGTGAATTCAGGCTGTAGGAAGGAAAGAAAGTATCCATACAAATATGGGCATGGGGAAGAGGGGAGTGAGAAAGTAAAGAGGATACAGAGGAATGCAAGCTATGCAGTGGTCGTGATTTCCTCAGGAAAAAGGCTATTGAATTTTTTTTCATTGTTGTAGGAGTTTCATACTGCAATGTTCTACTAAGCCTTTATGTAGTAATTTTTCTTTATGTAGTTGAATACATGATAGTGATCTTGCTTAATAAGGATAACTGCAGTTATCTAACTGCCAGTTACTAAGTCCCTTGGGTATTCTATCTTCTATCTAATTAAATTAATCATAAACCCCTGGTATTGAGGAAAGTCTTATAACATCTACAAATGGCTTAATTGTGTTCATTGTTCACTTGCTTCATTTGTAGAGTCTAGCCAGAGTAGAGATTAATTATGTAGAGTCTTAGTTTCTTTATTTTCCTCCTATCAATCTTAGTTGTTTAGAATGCACATAGCATTTTGGCATGTAACCATTTAAAAAAAAAAAAGAAGCTTATTCCTAACCCATCTAGAATATGCCCCGTTTCATTCTTTTTAGCAAACAAATTATTGGTCATATCTGAGTACAATTAGAAGTTGTCTTGTTGCATTATATGTTATAATTATGATGTTTTTATTGAAGTAGAATAATAGAATTGCAACTCTTTTGGGATTGACTTAATCGTTTCGTTTTCTCCATAGAAAAATAGAAATAGTACAGTTTGCAAGTCGCACACGTCAACTTTTTGTTCGGTTGTTAGCCTTAGTAAAGTGGGCTAATAATGCTGGGAAAGTGGAAAAATGTGCGGTAAGTTATTAAAGCCATTTAGCATAAAACAATATAAATTGTGTTTAATACCCTATAAAAGTGTCTTTAAAATGCTTGCTTTAAAAAAAAAAAAAAAAGCTGAATTCCATCTAGTGATGTTCTCTTCACTTGGGTCAGTAGCTGCAGTTTGTTTCTTAATATTATTATTTGTTACCTGTATAGAGGCAGGTAAACAACTGCAGTAGCCCCTAAAAACTTGCGTGGGTTTTGTCTTTAGTGTTACAATATTATTAAAATTAAAAATTTCTAGGGTTTAGAAACTGCAGAGAGGATATGATCACAGCACAAGTGTAGTTTCTATTGTCACACTTGTTTATGATAAATAAACACTGAGAAATGGCCAAATCTTCTCTTGGTTAATGAAGTACAAAGTTCTGAATGTTGCAAGATGTCATTGTGACTACATACAAACAAGGATATTGGTAGTCCAGCAGTCAGCAGCTGAAGAACCACCAGGTTTTCAAGCTTCCTGTTGCTTTCTAACTGGAAACTGTTGCTGTGGAGAATGAATGGAAGCCAGTTGCCCCACTGTAACATTCCACCCAGCGTGCTCTTATTCTCGGGAATCTACTTCTGGACACTTCCATGTGTGGAATGGACAGTCCATATGCACAGCACTCAAAATAACTAGGTTAAAACTAAACCAAGATCCTCTCTATAGTTTTGCATCCTGTGTAGAAAGAGGGAATTCTGTTAGGGAGCTGTACATTGAAGTACAAGGCAAAGTGGGGAGTATCCCAGCTAAGCTCCCTGAAAACCTATTTTTCTTTCTCCAAGGCTTATTAAATTCAAGTTTTAACCTTTCTATACTTGAGGTGCAATGAGTTGGTTGTTTTTTTTTGTTTTTTGTTTTTTGTTTTTTAAACCAAGAGAAATTAATGGGGGAAGCTGACGTTTTTTCTTTTGAATTTAAAAGGACAGGAGATGAGTAATAAACAAAGTATCTTTTAAATGTATACATGACCTTTTTAATAATTGTAGGATTTTTTTTTTGTAGTTTCTTTTCTCCTTGCCCCCAGGACCATCTTGCTGGAGAGGGAATATAGAGTTTATTAGTCTTATTTTGAAACTTGCATGGAAAGAAATTGACTTAGGTAATTAACCTATTTTCTTTTTTCATCTTGCAGATGATATCAAGTTTTCTAGATCAACAAGCCATTTTATTTGTGGACACTGCTGATCGTCTGGCATCACTAGCTAGAGATGCTTTGGTTCATGCTCGCCTACCAAGTTTTGCTATTCCATATGCTATAGATGTGCTAACAACTGGCTCATACCCACGTCTACCAACATGTATAAGGGTAAGTAGCTTTAAACTAGAGCTGAAATGA